ACTGCTCGAGCTATCAGAGGATTGCTATACTCTGACACCAGCACCACTGCCACGACCACCACCACCACCACCGCCGCCACCACCACCGCCGCCGCCACCACCACCACCACCTCCACCACCACCACCACCGCCGCCGCCACCACCACCACCACCACCACCACCACCACCACAACCACAACAACAATAACAATATGATGCACCAGCGGGATCTCTCGCTACCGACATTTTTTCGCAAGAACACTTGGCGTCCCGTCAATGGGCAACTGCTTTCAACCGGTGAGTAATATGTTTTCACCGATCATCTTCGCCACAGAGCTGGCAATGCCAGCGAATGGGCTGGTCCGCGGTCTCAAAATCCAGGCTCAGATGCTCGCTGTTTGCGAGCGTGTCAACGGTGCTGACAATGCCAGGCGATGCCAACTCTAGGCATTTCTGCAAGCCAGCGTTTCACCAGAGATGGCCTCGCAAGGCCTTGTAAGGTGCATCAGACGGGGAGAGGCCGAATCAGATCAAGTGTGCGTCGACCTGGCTGGTGAGGAAACGTCAGATTCTAGTAGCACGGGCCAGGTGGGCAGTGCTTGGTCTGTCAAACAAGCTTGCTCCATCGCGGAGCCGTGGCTGCCTGCAAGGTTGAGCAGGCACATAACACACAAGTATGTGTCTTGAGGTGTTTTGTTTTTTACCTCACTGCTTACCAAATTGTCCGTTGCTGCAAACGCTTAGCCTCGTCATGGCGTCAGCCTCAGATACAACTCTAACTTGTGGAGGGGCACTTGCATTCCATAACAATTCGGGTCAGGGCAAGCCATCACTGCTGCCTTTATCATGAACAATTCAGGTGTTCATCCTGGTTCTGCACGATGCGCCTGGAAGCCAAACTGCACAAATTGAGTAGTTGGCTTTGCCTGGATACGAGCACGGAGTGGCACCGAGCTCTACTCGGTCGAAGCCCATCAGCGTAGAGCTTCGTCCCACGCCACAGTAAAGCAAAATAGCTCGAGGACAGTTGGCCTGCAAATCCTTCCAGGTGTCGGCGGCCTCGGGCAGAGTATAACCCGTAAACCACAGAAGGCATTGCTCCAGGTTCGCAAGCTCTTTGAGAGTGGCCCGCCACGACTCCCTGTACTGAGCGACTGATGTTCCTGCGTTCATCGCGACGACTAAGTCCAAAGCCTGTGTAGGATCCATCTTCATATTGTGCCAGAGGCACTGCCGGTGTTCTATGTCCAGCTGGCAACCTTTCCAGGCATGCCCATGCATCGCATCAGGCACGTCTAAGCCGCCTTAGGTGCAGCTTTTGCTGGTGCATTGTCCACTGCAACTTGCGTGTTTCATAAGCAGCGTCACAAAATCTTGAGGCTCTAAAAGACCTGCGCCGACATCCTAACTGGCAATCCTGATGCCATGAAACAAGCTGTCTTTTGTATTGTCTTCTCTGAGGACTGGAAGCTGGTGCTACTTATGCTGGCCCAAGAGGGGACTCGAGCGCTTCAAACAAGCGCAGTACACCAAAGTAACGTAAATCGTATGAGGGTTCGATTTAAGTCTCCAAGCCACAAAATGTGAGGTGTACAGATGGCCGCAAGGCTGACGTATTATCAAGGCCCAGCAAACATGCAAGAAGTTTGTGGTGGAGGTCCTCCACTCCTCGCTGGTACTCCAGTGTTGTGCTTGGCCCGAGAACGGCCACAGCAATTGACGTCTTGGAATGTGGCGTGTATGAAGCATTTAGAGAAATCAGAGCCCGAAGAGCTTCTCCAATCGTGGCCACAGCGGTCCATTCTTCGGACAGTGCTGCAAGTAAGTCCTCCTCCAGATCTGACTCAGGCAAGAATTCGACACCCGTTGCAAACCTGTGCCAGAAGTCGCGCTGGTCATCCGTAGAGGGTATCATGATGGCAGGGTGTGGGACTCCTGCTCTGTCAAGAGCTTGTGCCTGCACACGCGACAAGAGCAGAGACCAAGCCTGTGCAAGCTCCTTCACTTTGCCCAAGCTGTCGTCACCAGCCTCATCGGCCCGCTCCAAGTCTCGCATCAAAGTCCAGATCCTCTTTGCTTCTAGAGCAATGCCTTGCGGGATGGCTGCCTCCCCTTGGACCAATTCATTGCAGGCCCTTCTCAATTCGTCTTCAATCCGTTCGAAAGGGTACAGCAGTAGCGCTTCCACACTAAGGCTATCAAACGAGCGTGGAGGCACATTGCCAACAGCACAGGTCATTTCAAGGAACCTGCGAGCGCTGAGGAAGGCAGGCAGGAAGCATGATAAGCAAAATTATCTGTCGGTATCAGGTTCAAGGCAGGGCAAGGCACAGTATTAGGTGCCAGCTCAACTCAGAAGCACAGGCTGCATAAGGACATGTCTCTCCCATCGGCCTGTCTCCCCATGACCTCAGCAAATCTTCAGCAACTTGCTGCAGCAGTGTAGGTCAGGTGCATGCGACTTCCTCGCAGCCATTCCGCACGTCTTCCTCACGCTCCTGCCTCCCTCGAATCCGTAAACCCAGAGGCTTCCAACTCTGTTCGGCCCGGCCACACTACTCATTCCTAATCCCCGGCGACCTCTTGACAGTCACCCTGGTCTAAACCTGCAGGGCGCTCCAATGGCAGTTTGAAGCCCAAATCCATTCAACCAAAGACGCGCAAATTGAGACACCCAGCACAACAACTGCCACGGTGCCCCCTGTTGATGAGGCCGCTGCAAGTTGCTGGCGCGGTTCCATTCCCGGCGGCGGGCTCCCTCATTGGATCCCCAAGAGACCTTGTTGACAGCGAAGAGTTGCTTCAGGACTTTGGGTCCAAGATCCTGAAACCTTAACCCAACCATCTTTGCTAAGCTGACATGACCTGGATTTGTTGCTCTCAAGCCTTGAGCACCGCAGATGAAATAAGCGCACGAAGCAGGAAGGGCTGACCAGCTCTGATTAGGGAACGATGCGGCGAGAAGCACAGGAACAAGGCTTCATTCAGCTTGACTTTGTCTGGTACGGCCCCCACTGTTCGAATGCGGCCAGGCGCACTGCTGCCAGTTCCTGGGCGTCTGTCCTTCACTCTCAAATCTTCACGCACGACAATGAAGACTAAGCGAATGCAAACCGATTGGCCGGGTCCTGGAACGGTGTACTCCTCCCAGAGAAGAGGCTGCTCGCACCTGTACCTGCAAGAGCGCTTGATGCGACACAGTCAAAACCCTCAATAGTGAAAGATGCCTAGGGTACGGCCTTTGCAACTGCAGTTGCAGGCACGCGTGTTCTGTCTGCGAATACACACATGCTCAGCCCGAGCATGACCTGGTCGAGTTGGCGCAGCTGCGGAGCCAAGCCTACAAAGAGACTTGAGTCTGGATGAAAGGGCTTGCAGACGGTGGGCGACCTTCTGATGTGCTGCAGGTCTCTGAAGAGACCACAGCTTTGCCAGCTTGCAGCAAGACAAGCAGATATTCATACATCCTGCTGCCCTGAGACTTGCCTCTACAAACTGAGAGCTGAGCGTAGGGCAGCAAGGTGACTCGCACTTGACTCTAGAATGATGAATTTGGACACGTCTGGTGTTCATATGATCTGAACAATTTATATCTCTTGCCTGCTGGGACTGGGAGAAGCGCGGTCCCTGAGTCGCGTATGCATGTAACATCATGCAACTGCATACTACAAAAAAAAATCATCCGCTCTGGAGGGCCCTTTCTCAGCCCCCTAATCCGTAATCCCTGACAAGAGCCACCCAACCTCCTCAGAATGTCCGCTCTTGGGGGGAGGGGTGGCCTGCCTCAACCCCCGGGATCCATGCGGGAGCGCCGTCGGAAGGCGGATTCTGAGAACGCAATACGCGGTGAAATCGGATTCTGAGGACGCCGTGCAGAAATCGGATTTCCAGGACACTCCATGCGGGAGCGCCGTCGAGAAGATCGAATTCTGAGGATGCTGCAATCAGGGGTCGTTTCAGGTCTATACAGGCCGGCTGTTTCGGGCCCGCGTGGACTCTGATCTCCTGAAAGCGCTCCCACGTGGAGCTTCCTCAGAATCCGATCCCCTGACGGCGAACAGGCTGATTTGACCTCTGAGGCTGAGGCGCATGAAATTGCTTCCATCCTTTGCTTTGCCCACACTTCACTGCATCCTCCTTCAGCCATTCCGCATTCGGGCTATGCACGTTGGCCTGTTGCACTGAACGCTGCCCGGTAAAGCACGCTTGGGAGGTCCTGCTTTGTGCCGCTTCCAAGCTTGTCCAGAATCTCCCACATGATTCGAAAGCCTGCTGCACAACGAGGTGAGCTAGAATAATCTAGAACGTCACCACAATAGAATGGGGACATGTGACGTATGATTGCTTCGCCGGGCAGCCATCCCATGATAGCATGCAAGGGTGTCCTGTAGTTCTGCACGTGGCTGAAAATTCCCAAATGGACTACAACCATCAAGACGAGCGCGCAAGTGATCACTCTTCAGCGAAGATAGGTGCAGACGACTGCTGACCATGCCTACCGTTTCTTTGAAGATAGATCAAGCGTAGGAAGGGAGCCAAGCTTGAATAAACACATCCGGCCTGAAAGAGACTCAGGCAAATTCTGTAGGCAGACTGGATGAATTTCACGCGCGCCAGACAGAGGCCACCTGGAGCCGCAGAAGTCCACGAGCACGGAAACAAAAGACAAGCTTACGCGTGCACAGGATGGCACATACTGTCACATACTCCAAGGTTTTGCAATCTGGCAACAGTATCAGCAGCAATGGCCGATCAAGCTTTGAACGCCGCTCCATTGCCGCCACGTTCTGGGCACCCAACACAGGATTTGGCCTGGAGCCTCAGCACTAGAGGGTCACAAAAAGATGCGGCATGTATGAATACAATCTAATATTTTCAGTGTTGACTTGAGTAGGTACGCCGCAGGTTCACCAGAAACTGGTGAGTCCATCTAGACGGTGGACAAAGTGAGACTGACAACAGTCAAGTGAAGGATCAGAAATTAGCGATCATGTTCCGAAACGATGCAGGACTTTTTGGTAGCTCGAAGGGGATGAGCGAAGCTAAGCAAACTGTGCTATCTGACTTGGAGACCGCTAGGCGCAGCAGAAGGGATGCTACTTCTGGCTGCTGAGACCATCACGTTCTTGACGAGGCTGCGTTGGGCCGAAGATACCTCAGCTGCACAGATCCTCAAAACAAAATCTTCACCCGACAACCAGTCGCATCTGAGTCTTCCTTCTAGCGAGCCATAGAAATAGGCTGTGCTTCAACGCTTCAGGCAGCATAACTGCAGCATAGGATGTTATACCCAAAGCTATAGGAATGCTCCCTCTCCACAACATGACCCTGACGCTCGACACACAACAGCATATTATATCGTGCGGCAAGGTGTCCCAGCCACCCTAACAGGATGCGTGATCTGAGCTTCCTACTTCGGCGCTGTCCTCGGATCAACATCTCTTCCTGTGCACCTCAGAATGCTTTGAGACATTACATGATGCCTTGCCGGCATGCAGCATACAGCTTTCGATGCTTTCGCGCCCAGACGTTACAGTAGCGCTGTAGATATGTAGAGCAACACCGTGGTTCACAAAATGTAGTTTTCTGCAGGCATTGTGGGCGACAGCGGCTGGAGAATGCGGTCCCAGCACCGTCAGCAGTCAAGCATAGGGCAAAGTGGCAAAGCATCGCAAACCAGCAAGGAAAATGTCCTTTCCTGGACTCCTGGACTGCGTGCGCTGTACCCTGATGATCGCATCTTTCCTCTTCACGCTGCAGTTCATCATTTCCGCAGAGCCACTCTGCCCCGCAGCTGCAGCTTCATAGGCTGCGCCAGGCGCAGGGGCACCTGAGCATTTGATTACTTGGTGTTCAACTTCAATCTGTGGAAACGCGACAGACTGAGGCAATTGTAGCATCTGTTTATGCGGGTAGTGATTAATGACTGCGAGACAGTGCGAGGCCCCTGCTGGCATAGCTCCACCCACCCTGGCAGGGCTTCAAGTCTCCAAGCAAAACTTCTGACTGATGATCTTTGCAGAGCAAGTGTCTAGAGAGTCTAGTGACAGCGCGTGATGCAGTGACACACTTGTACATGCTGGCACACTAGCATGCCTGACTTAGCACTCTTCATAGCACCACGCAGAGAATCCGAGCTGACAGCGCTTGTAGTGTCACTGGATGTGAAAAAGACGTCTGGAGGATGAGCCCTTCGTCCAATTCACGCAGCAATCTTGCCCAAGCAGCCGTGTGGCTGCAGAGTATGCCTCAGCATCCGCACTCCCTAAGTCTGAAGCCCTGTAAATCTGATGCACAAACTCAAAGGTGACAATCTGCCCAGGTTGACCAAAACCGACAAAGTATTCTGACAAATCCCGCTACGTTTCTTGCAGCTGCTTTCCTGTTCCATCTGCTTCTTGCTGTTTGTTTTTGTGCTGGCTTCTATTTCTTAGACGCCTGGCTGGTGCTTCAAGCGTTTGATGTGTTCTGATGTGAAACCCATTCTTTCTCAGCTTGCAATCTGGCTCCAAGGGTGCTACTGTCATGTACCAACTCTGCACTGGGCAGCTTGAAGATCCGGATGCTTCACCCTGTTTTCTTTGATTTAGTTTGGCTTTCTAGATTCTGGGGACTGATGGACCTTGAGGTTCTTTATCGCAATCATCCCCTTGCTCCTGCAGAAAGCCTCACCGAACATGTGCCAGCTCTCACCTGAGACTGTGACCAACATCGATGGCAGAGATTAGGGAACCAGCCTGCTCAGGCTCGCGCTCGCAGACAAATGGGTTGGCAACCCGATTGCGGCCAGTCCCGTAGACAATCATTGTCAAAACAAGGAAATCGAATTTGCGCGGAGTTACAAAAATCAGGATGCTGTCCAAGCGCCTGAAAAAAGGTGGGGCCTGTAATTAAATTATACAGACACGTTACAGGAGTCTCCAACGAAGATTATGTAGCAATTGTTTTGTGAAGTTTCCGCGCCATTACAAATCAAATGAAGATGCAAGTGGCTCCAGTACTTGACATGCCGCTGCAGCAGAAGTTCCTCACTCAATTAACGAAGGACCTTGTGGAGGACCATGGTGTGGCCATGCTTGGCCATGAAGCCTTAGATGCAGGATATGATGGGAAGACAGGACCCCTGAGAGCGTGATTGCCAAGTGACTCAACGCTTCCAGAATAGCATCTAATGTCTACTTAGTCCACACTGCACTCATTTGGCTACTAATCAAAACCACGTGCCCCGCATGCACGTTC